CAATGCAGAATCTAAATAAAAAAAAAAAAAAATAATCGCAAAAAAAGAGACAAAAAAAAAACAAAAAAAACAAAAGGAATAGATATCCGCCGAGCTGAAAGTGGCAGCGACCCCCACCAATACCACCACCACGTTCAACCTACCCCCCTGCCTGTCCTCCCTTTTTAACAATTTAAACAAAAAAAAAAAATTCAATAGAAAAGAATGTCTTCAACAAAAAAAAAAAAAGAGCATTTTCAAAATGGCTGACTAATTCTTTTAACACGTCATTTGTGACATTTCTTTTTCTCTCTTTCTCCTCTCTTATGCTACTCGCCTCCTTTTTCCTTCTCCAACCCCCTCTCTCCCTCTCTCTTTCTCTCTCTCACTCTTTTTGTGACAGCATTCTTCCTATTTCTCCTTCCTTTGGGGATTGTTGATAAATGCAAGGAACCAGGGTTGCTCCTGTTTTTGCTCTTTTTTTTCCTTCTCTCTCTCTCTCTTTTTTTTCCTCTCTTCCTTTTTAATTTTTTTTTTTTTTTTTGTATTTTTATTTTTTTTTATTTTTCTAGTTTCACGACTTGATGACGCATTTTTTTTCCACCCTTAGTTTAGTTTTTTTTTTGTCATAGTGATTAAATTCCATGAGAAACATATTGTATAAGGTCAGCCTTTTTGTTTTTAACTTGAAATTTATCACTTTTTTTTTTACAATTATTTTACAAAATTCTATTTCATCCCCCCCCTCCGCATCTCTCTCTTCCTCTCTCTCACTCTCTTCCTTCATTTTTATTATTATTATTAAGTAAAACTTAGTCATTTTTAAAAAATGACTTTTCACTTTTATTTTTTTATTTTCATTTAAATAATTATAATTTTATTCGTAAAAAAGGGAAAACCAAAAACGAAAGCGTTGTTTGTTTGTTCGATCGATCGTTTGTTTTTCGATATATTCGACTTCCGTAGCGAGCGATATATCGAAAATTTTCTTATTTTAAGCATACGCTAACGATTTTATTTAATTTTTTATTTTTTCGTGCGACAAAAAATTTTCCGGTTTTTTTTTAGCAGAAGAAAAAAAAATAAAAATTTTATTAACTCTTAAACGATCATAATAACGATGATGATGATGATGATGATGACCGTTTTTGTTGTTGTTTTGTTTTTGTTTTTGTTGACCTGCGGGTAAAAACAATCGCTTTACTGAAAATTTAACAAAATTAACAACCGCAACGAGAATTCAACGCGAATCTTTTCATCTCTCTCTTTCTTTCTCTCTTTTTAATTCTATCCGTTAAATTTATGCACTCCGAAAACGTAGCATATATAATTAATTTTCTATCGAATTGTTGCCGTTTCGTCACCTACGATAATTAATTACCTGTTGTTGTTGTTGTTTTTCTTTTTTATTTTTTCCCTTTATCAATATCTAATCGTTGCGCCAAAGGAATCGATTTTAAAATAATAATAATAATAATAAATAATAATTCGCTTTTTCAATACATATATATATATATATATATATATATGTAATCATTTTCGATTTTATTATTAACGTCCTAGATTTTTAATTTATCGTAATTGAAATTGAAAAAAAAAAAAAAAAAAACTTTAACCAATCAAATTCTTTCGATCGGATAATTTTCTTTTTTTTCGAAGAGAGGATATTTAACGCGACATTTTGTTTTTTATTTTTTTTTTTAGTTTAAAATTTTAGTTTAGTTCTTTAAAAAGTACGCGTAAATATCATCATCATCATCATCATCATCAGGATTCATGGTGAAAAATAAAATTTTGATTTAAATGAATCAAACAAACGACGACACTGTCATTTAATCCGTTTAACTTAATCATAATCTTTAATTGATGGATTATTTAAAAAGATGAAGATTAACTTTTTTTTTTTTTATGTCTTTTAATGATCGTTTGACGAATCAATCGTCTCGAATTTTTGTTTTAAACAAAAAAAACTACAATAACGGCAGAAACAACCGTTCAAACAACCGAGGAACCCCAAAAATTTAATTTAAACGATATTATTATAAAAATTCACACGCCCACACGTAAAATTCATTCTGACTCCAATCTCATTTTTTTTTTAAGTAAACTAATAATAATAATAATAATAATAGCGATGATGACGGTGATGGTGATGGTGGTGATGATGATGGCGATGATTGAAAAAACCAAAAATGGTTTCACATTCGTAGTCGAGATCACATTTCTTTTTATAAGTCGATACGCCATTTTAATAAAAAAAAAATTTTTTTTTTTTTGACGGAATCCTTTCGATCTTTTCACCTACCCTTTCGAACCGTTCGATAATAAATAAAAATAATAATAATAATAATAATAATAATAATAATAATAATAATATGTAAGTATACGTTATTTAAAATAACGATAATGATAATAATAGGAACAAAAATATTTGATTTATTACTTTTAAAAAAATTTGATGGGCCGAACTAATAGTATAACCCAAACAACACAAACCCTTCTTTGATTCGCGCGCCATTTTTTTTTCTTTTTTTTTTTTTTTTCATTATATACGATTTCCAATAACACGATCGACGATCCATCGATTATCGATTAAATTAATTTCTTTTGTGCCATCACAAAAAAAAAAAAAAAATTGTATTCTTTTTTATTTTTGAAAAGGTGAAAAAAAGGGACAACCCTTCGCTCTCCTTCTCTCCTCCCATTTCGATTTTCATTTATTATTATTATTATTATTATTATTACGTTATCGTGAAAATAAAATGAAAAAAAAAGGAAAAGAAAGCAGAAGACGGGAGGCAGCTGGTAGTTTTTCGTTTTACTACGTGGGCACGTTATCGTTTTTTAATTAAAACGTTTCTCTAACGTTCAGAGCGTATATATATCTAATTCAACCTTGCGGTATCCGAAAATGGACCATATAAATGGCTCCTCGAAGAAAACTTGACACTAATTTCTTTTTTTTCTACGTTTCCTACCCGTGGGAGATTTTCGTAAATGACAACGATGATGATAATAATAATAATAGTAATGATTTAAACGATTTTAAATCGAAATTCGGAATCGGAATTTTTTTTTTTTCGTTTTTCTCTCTTCATCATTTTTTCATTTCGTTTTTCTCTTTCTTTTTTTAATAATAATATTAATAATAATAATAATTCTTGTTCCACGACGTCAACAGAAAAAAAAATCGTTAGGCATTCAATTAAAATCATTTAAAAAAAAAAAAAAAATAGAAAAGAAAATTATTAACGATTTCTTTTATCGATTAATTAACCTTATTAATATTATTAATTAAACGTTAACGGATCAATTTAAAAAAAAAAAAAAAACAATGAATACATCAATATAAATTTTTTTTTTGCCCTTTTCCCTCCTTTCCCCCTTTACCCGCTCCCCGTCGTCGGAATACTAAATTATTTAAATTATTTCTACCGCCAAAAAAAAAAATAATTTTTTTTTTTTAAATTATATCGAATTAATATCGAATTCTTATTTTTTTTTAACGTGAAATTTTTGTTTAAAGTCTGAACAATTTCCCATTCTAGTTAACAACAACAAACGCAACAAACAATTTGATATTTTCGATACGCAAATTTCTAGAACAAAAAGAAAACAAATCTTAATTCGACTCATTTTTTTTTACGTTGCATTTGAATACGTAAGAAAAAGAAGACGTCAAAAAAAAAAAAGATTTTTTTAAAAACGCCCATTTTTCATTATTATTACTATTATTATTATTCTCTAGTTTCTCATCGCCTAAACGGCCTTGGTGTAATAAAAGTAATAATAATAATAACAACGATTATTATTATTAATATTATCGTTATTATTACGAATCGATAAGAAACGGGGGAAAAAAAACAACTGCTACATTACGAATAAAAAATCAAACAAAGTTGAAAAACAATGTTTTATCATTATTATCATCGTCATCATCATCAACATTTTACTTACAAAAAATAATTTGGAAAACGAGAGAAAGAAAGAAAGAAAGAAAGAAAGAAAAAAGAAAAGATGACGATAATTATTTTTACCTGAAATGAAAATTATTATGAAAATAATGCGTGGGATAAATAAAAATTTATAACCGCCCATCCGCCTACCGCCTAATTATTATTATTATTATTATTATGATTTTTAATTTTTTTTTTTTATAATCCGATCCGATTTAATAATGCGCACATTGGAACATTTAAACTTTTTCTCTCTCTCTCATTTTCGTCTTTTTTAATTAATAATAATAATATTAATAATTTTATTTTTTTTTTACCCTCTCCATGCCAAATACTTTATGATGTGTAAAAAAAAAAAAAAAAGAATTTGTGAAAAAATACAAAATTCTTATTTGCTTTCTATTACGGAGAGAGAGGAAGAGAGACAAAGAAAGAGAGAGAGAGAGAGAGAGAGAGAGAGAGAAGGAAAAGCGTGCGTAATGAATGTTGATTAACTTACATCTTAATTATAACATGTACTATGCATACGTAATAATAATAATAATAGTAATATTGTTTTTCCTCCTCGAGATTTTAATAATATTTGCATTTCTTTAACGTTTCACTCCAATAATTAATTATTATTATTATTCATATGAGAAAAAAAAAAAAAGAAAGTCGTCGTTTTATGTAAAACGCACGTTCGTATAAACGAAGCATTTTCATCGAAAATATTGGGGGGAAAATTCACGCATCCGCTCGTTTTTCTTTTTCTTTTCTTTTATTAATTAAATAAATAACATATTAATATGATTATTTTTAAAAAATTGAATAATTTAAAACTTTACTTTTTCTTCCATATTTTTTTTTTTTTGTTCTTATCAACTGGAACGAAATACCATCCATCGTAGATATAAATAAAATTTTTTTAATTGACCTGACCCGTATCAGTAAAATCCGATATTAATCATATATAAAACCAAAAATTAAAACAAAATTCTTCGTTCAATTTACATTCGTCCTTACATAAAAATCAAAATCGGGTCCTTAACAATAAATTTTTTTTGTTAATACTAATATAGTTTTAGACTTATTACAAAAAAAAATTTAATAAATAAAAACCATAAGTACTGATAACGATAACAGCAAAACAAAAATAAAAAAATAAACGAAAAAATTTTATAAACTTACTTGAAATTATTATCCAGAGAATATCATAAAAAAATAATTGAAAAAAAAATTTTCTTTTCTTCATCCATAGAAAAAATTTTTTGATAAGAGATAAACAATAATAATCAAAAGCACAGGTTTAAATTAATCACTTATTAATATTATTATTATTATTATTTTTCCAAAATTTTTACTTTCTTAACACTTATATGTAGAAAAAAAAATGGAAGATGTAATAATTTCATATTGTAACATTTCAAAAATACACTTTATTATATTAATCACGCACTTACGTATACACGCACTTATGCAAAATTCTATAAAGTTTCTACTTTTTGATTATAATATCAAGAAAGGGTGTCAAAAAAATTAAAAAAAAAAAAAAAAAACTGGTCGGGAGATTAGACACGGCTTATTATTGAAAGAATTACAAGAGGGAATTAATATCATGCGTTACACGGCATTACCATGGTTAAGCACGAGGAGAAAACCGGTGTCGGATCCTTAATTGGTTCTCATTATAATTCAACTTTTGTTTTTTTTTTTTTTTATTATTTCGTTTCCGAATGAGAATAATAATAATAATAATGATAAAACAACGAACGTAAAACGTGAAAACAAAAAAAAAATAAAAACGCGACGACGGATCGCGAAAAACTTTTTTTTTTTAATTTTTTCTTAAAACGATACCATTTTCCATCATCGTTCCTTTGTTTATATATATAAATTTGTCAATGGAAACTTTTTTTTTTCAAATTATCTCTCGTATTAAATTATAAAACATCGGAAAATGTTTAAACTCTAAAAAAAAAAAAAATTTTTTTGGAAAACTTATTTCGCGTCTTTAAATGTTGTCATCGCGTATTCGCACGTTGTAAAAATAAAAATAAAAAAATAAAACATTTATTTAATTTAACATTTAATTCAAACATTTTTTTTTTTTTTTAAACGTTCATGTTTACACAATTTTTCTTCTGCTTAAAAGATCTCCTTCTTATTTTTATATATTATATATATTAATTAAATGACCGATAAGATGAGAAAAGCTTTACTCTCGCGCGCGCTTTACGACATTCACTGTCTCTCATAGTATACTCGTGTATCTGTCAAAAATATATTTTTATCAATTTTCACTACGAATCAACAACCGGACTTATAATTCGATTGACGCATTGTGAATGTGACACTTTCAATTCTTTCTGATAAATGACTTCGTCTGCGACGTTGCCAACTCGTTACGGGAAAAATCTTTCAAGGTTTTCATCGTCTGCCATTTTTCATTTCTCAATTTATTTTCATTTCCCCTTGTCGTGCGTAAGTAAAAGAAAGGGGAGTGGGGTCATCTAAGAATAGTATTCCGAAAAAATTTTTCGTTTGTTATTTTTTTCTTTTTTTTTTTTTCACCGTCGACCAAAAAATATTTTAATGACTTGAGTCTGCGTGCGTGTGTGCGTGCGTGTGCGTGTGTATTTTTTTTTTTTTTTTGTTAATGATGAGTTTGATTAATTATAACAATTAGTCAAATCTCATTCTTTTTAAACCGGAGATATTTATTTTTCAAAATGTCGGTTGATTTTACTGTTTCTCTCTCTAAAAACAAGCAGTAGCCACGAAAATAAAATAAAAATAAACTTCAATAAATTATGCGACAACAAAAGTTAAATTTTAAATAATTATTTATTTATTTATTTATTTATATAGCAAACGAATCATTATTATTATCATTATTAATTCTTTTTTTTTTAATGCCTTGTTACCAATTAATGCGATGATTCCCCGTATACCAAATTTACGTTTAAGGGGAGGAGGAGGAAGAAGAAGAAAAAAAAACAACCCTTAGAGATTAAAATGACGCAAAAGGATTTGACACGGATGCTTTCGCATCCCTAACAATAACAACAACGACAACCGTTGTCGTTGTTGTTGTTTCGTTTTGATCATTTTTCTATCTCGTTCGTTAAATATTGATTTATCTGTTTGAATCACGATTAGAAATTTTGGGAATTTTCATTAAACAGGAAAAAAGCGGGGGAAAAAAAAAAATTATACGTGAATTCGTGCGTGCGCGTATTCGGGAACGAACGAACGAACGAATAAACGGGAAGTAAAAGAAAGGAATGAGAACGCGAACGGTTTTTTTTTTTGAGGGGAGGGCGTATAGGGAGGTATGGGCCGGGAAAACGGTATAAAATTAATAATGGAAAAAAAGGAAATGCACCGTAAAAGACATTTTCGTTCCAAAAATACATGACGTGTGGAATCGAAAAAGAGAAAATAAAATATTTTAAATAAAAAAAAAAAAATTCGAAAAAAAAAACATTTTCGAGAATTAAAAATGGACTCTCTCTCTTTTTCTCTTTCTCTCCTCTCTCTCTCTCTCTATCGTTTTCTTTCACATGTGGTTTTTTCAAAATTTTTTTTTTCTTTTTCAAATTCTAAAAATAAAATTAATAAAAAACAAAAAAAAAAAGCTCGAAAAACAAACTTACATAATTTTTTGACATTGTTGTTCGAAAAATAAAAAAATATTTTTGTTTGTTCGTTTGTTTGTTTGTTTGTTTGTTTGTTCATTTTACTGTTTTGACTCGTACGAAAAACCCTGACATTGTTTCCAAAAAAAAAAAAAATTAAATAAACCGGAAATCGCTATCGAATTCAACCAACCGAAGCTTTTTTTTCTTTTTGCATTTTTATTAAATTTATTTCATTCAATACATACAATGAAAAATAAAATAAAATAAAATAATCCGTAGAATACATTTAAACAATTTCGAAACAACCAAAAATTTTGTTTGCACGGATTATTACTATTATTATTATTATATTCTCGCAAAATATTTTATGGTACGGCGTGTAAATAAAATCAAATTCACACGACAACTCCTTGTAAAAATTTTTTTCTTTTTTTTTTTTGCGTACCTTAATAAATTTACACGTATAACGACATTTTAACGTTTCCAAAAAAAAAAAAAAAACGACAAACAAACGTTTAGAAAAGAAGTTTTAAAATATGCAACGAAACAAACAGTCGGAAGGATGAGAAAAAGAAAAAAATATGCGACAACTTTTTCACGGTGATCATCATCGTGTCATTAAAAAATTATTTAAAACTAAATAATTACAAAGTGGAAAAAAACTTAGAAAAATAGATTTGGAAGGAATTATCAACAACAACAACCACAACGACAAAAACAACAACAACAACAAACGCGAGAGGATATAAAAGTAAGAAAACAAGGTAAAAGATTTAAAATTTACATAAATGTTAATATCCGTTTACGCAAATAAATAAATAAAGTTTAACATAAAAATTTACCTTCTATCATTATTATTATCATTATAATTATTATCATCATTATTGTTTATTAGCATTTATTAAGTGCGACGTTTTAAATGTTTTTTTTATTCAATAATATCCGTTCCAGAAATAAATTCGAATGACTTTTTTTAATGAAAGGTTTCGTAAATATTTTCCTGCTCGTTCTACTTGTATTTGAGAAGAAAAAGATTTCGAAAATGTGAAAATTCGTCAACCATTTTTTTTTTTTTTTCGTCTGCTACTACGACCACGCGTCGGGGAAAAAACGGTACTAATGAGATTTCCAAATATCCGTTTAATATCGTTTCGCAATCGACCAATCGTCGATTGCGAAAAAAAAAAATATTTAAAAGTTCGTGAGCTCACGGTTTTGACGTGGCACGAACGTGTCATATAGTTTCGAGTGCAAAAGTCTTACGTCGTTATCATTAGTTAATTATTATTATTATTATTAACATTCGAACATAATTTTGCCATTAAAAAAAACTATTCGATCGTTTAAATCTGAAGGATTTGAAAACGTTTTTGAAAACGTTTTTGAAAACGTTTTTTTTTTTTTTTTTTTAAATTGTTTTTAATGATTTTCCATTTAATAATTAATTAACTCGATGACAAACGATCCGAATAACCGGTAGCTATAAAAATTCATTAATGACACGTACAAAGATAAGAAATAATATTAATAAACTACATTTAAAAAAATGGCAGAGCCGGGTCATAATTTTTTATTTTTTTGTTAAATTTGTGTCCACGGTTTATAAACGTTTTAAGGATAAAAATGTCGTTTATAAAAAAAAAAAACGCGCATTTGTTAAAGTCAATTTTTTAAATGTGTAAACACACAAATGAAATATTAAACGTTGAAAAATTTCGTGCAAAAAAAAAAAAAAACGTGCCATGAGAAAAATTTCACATAAAATTTTAAAGAGTAATAAATATTTTTTTTTTTTTTAATCGATAAAAATTTATAATGGTTTTAAATTTTAACCGCCAAAAAATAAAAAAAAAATCAGGAATTCCCGGTTAACAATATTAATTCCACGATTACTTCCGGGACGACAACGACGAAATTTTTCAAATAAACAAAAAAATGCGCGAAATCGATATTCGTGAGCGTGTGTGCGTGTCCACATCGTTAAAAAAACATATCACGTGACAGGTAGTAATAAGACGGTGTGGTCTTCTTGTGAAATTTTTTTTTCAAATAATAATAAACAAGGAGAAACGATAAGGCAAACGATAAACAAACAAACAAACAAACTAATAATAAAATTATACAACGAACGACAAGTTTTTTTTTTTTATTATAAACGTTAAATAATTAATTAATTAAGAAACAAACAAACAAACAAACAAACCGGTGGAATTAACTGGGACAAGACCATCATCCATCCTGTTCCCTTCAATTTAAAAAAAAAAAAAAATTATTTTTTTTTTCTTTTTCCACGTTCGTAATTTTTCCCTCTCGTCTCTTTTTTTTCGCTTTCACAATTATTATCATTATCGTTATTTTTTTATTAATTTAACATTCAAACCACAAAAGCTTTTAACGAATTGTAATTTATTATCAGAGTTTGTTTGTTTGTTGGCAAAAAAAAAAAAAACTTAAAGGGGAAGAAGAAGAAGAATGAAGAAGAAGGCAAAGGTTTCGTGTCAAATGGCATCACCCAGAGAACTCTTCAAAAAAAAACCAACTCCCTAAAAATTCTTCCTTAAAAAAAAAAAAAAATGTTTTAAATATTTAACAACTGACAGAGAACACACATTTTGAAAAATGAGGAAAAATGGTTGGTTGTTTGGTTGGTTGGTTGGCTGGTTGTTGTATGGTCGAATTATATATGAAGATTTCATTTAAGGGGAGCCAGCATGAGGTAATGAGGGGCATCATTCAACTTGACTATAATGGTCGTAATCAGTCACCGGGATAATAGAGATTTTAAGGTAAAAATTACACAAGATGGAATTTCTTTGTTGGCGTTTCTTTTAAAACATTTTTTTTTCTTCCTCTCTCTCTCTCTCTCACTTACTGCTTTCATATCATTCACTCTATACTTCTCTCTCTCTCTTTCTTTCTTTTTCCATCGTCCTCACCTTTTTTTTTTTTTTTCATTTTTACAATGGAAAAAAAAGCCGGTCGGTAAGGGTCGCCCAGTCGCTTTTTTAAAAAAATATTATTATTATTATTTAAAGTCAAAAAAAAAAAAAATGATAATAATAATGATAATTTTTTATATTAGATTTTCATTACACAGTCGACTCCCTTTTTATCTCCTTCCACGACGAATTTTATATTCAAACAAATCGAACAGTTTAATTTAAAAAAAAAAAAAAAAAAAAAAAAAAAAACGTTTGTGCGTTTGAAAAAGTTTTTAGTTAAAAAAAATAGTTCAGGGCGGTACTGGTTACGATATTAATAATGATGATGATGAAGATAATGATAATAATAATAATAATTCGATTTATATTATTTAGGTTTGGAAAATACAAAAAGAAAAAAAAAAAAAAACAAATTTCATCTCATTCTCTTTTTCACGTTCATCCTTCCGGACTTTTTCATTATTGTTGTTGTTGTTGTAACTTCTCTCTCTCTCTTTCGTGGGTGGAAGAGAGAGAGAGAGAAGGGGAAAAAAGAAACCGCAAGAAAAAAATAAATAAAAATAATAAAAAAAAAAAAAAATCGAGTTTAGCTTTGGCTGGTTTTGCAAGTGCCAAATAAACTAGTTGTTAAATTTATTGAAAGAAATATATTTTCTTGGCTGATGACATTTAAAAAAAAAAAAAATTTTTTGACTCAATTTTTCTTTCGGGTTTATTTCGCCGCTATAGATCAGTTGTTTTAGGTCGTCGTAGTCGTCGTCGTCGTCGTCGTCGTCTTCGACGCATCCACTTTCACGAATTCTTATTTTTTTTTTAAAATGCTAATAATAATAATAATCTTTTACACGTTCTCCCGTAACTTTTCAAAATGAAAAAAATTTAAAAAGGGCAAAAAGTTCAACGAAGGGTCATCATCACATCATCATCGCGTACGATAAAAATTATTCAGCGGGGAACCCGGGAAGTAGCACCTTAAAAAATTTCGTCTGAACATTTTTTTTTTTTTTATACGTTATCATCGTAATTATGCAAATAATTTTCTATTAACTGTCATTGTCGTAACATTTTTTTTTTTTTTAAATAAAAACCTGCAAGACATTTAAATTAAAAATTTAAAAAAAAAAATCAAATTACGAGAAAACGAGTATAAATTTCAACAACAACAATTTTCTATTTTTTTTTTTTTTTTTTTTCATATTAATATTTTAATAAATTCGTTCGAGTCGTTTCGCATCTTAATAATAATAATAATAATAATAATAATAATAATATTCTACGTAATTATTTTCAATTACGCATTATTAAGAAAACTTTAAATTCCCATGAAATTCAAAAAAGAAAACTTTTTAAAAGAAAAGTTTTATAATAATAATAATAATAATGAAACCCACTGCCACCCCCACAGCCACTAGCTACCCACTGACACTGCTGCCAACTTCGAATAAATAAACGTCGTAAAATTATTCGAATTTTTTTCGTTATGAAAATTTAAAAAAAAAAATTATAAATACCTTTTGTTTTTTTTCGTTAATGATTAACCAGGTAATTAATTAATTGTTAATAATATGAAGACGTAAAACAGGTTTTTAATTAGCCGTAAAAAAAAATGGAAGGGCTTTAATCACTCTTAATAGCTTCATAATTTTCAATAATAATTTTACATGTAATTAATTTCAATCATGTTTGTTATAACGCGAACCGAAAGGTCAACAAACACTCAAAAAAACCGCCCCGTGAAAAAAAAAAAAAATTTAATTACGATTTTTTTAAAATTATTATTAATAATAATAATAATGAATACGAATAATGGCTATAGTGTTAATGTAGTCGGTTATTTAAAAACAATATGGCCGACGGATGGATTTCTCACAGAAATTTTTTTTTCCTCTCTCTCTTTTAAACATTCGATCCAAAGCGTAAAATAATTATTAAAAAAAAGCAAACAAACAAACAAAAAATTCAATTTCGAGTAAGAAAAAAAAACGATGTAATAAATCGTTAAATAACGAATATGGAAAAGAAAGAAAAAAAAAAAAAAAAAACAAAGATGGCAGAAAAATCTGTTGAAATCATTAAAAAAATTTAGACGAACAAACGAAAGAAATATCAAAAACAGAAAATTAAACAATGACAAACGATTTTTCCAGAAATTTCTTTTCTTTTTTTTAATCGTACACATATACGCACAACGAGGAGCCGAAAACTTTTTTTTTTTTTTTTTTTCAATTACGAATCGTTTTACTGGAACTAATTTAATTTTTCGTTTCTTTGAACAATCTGACAAAGAAAATGAGGTAAAATGGCAGACGAAAAAAAAAAGAAGAAGAAGGAAAAGAAGGAAACAAAAAAATTACAAATAGTGGGAAAAAAAAAATTTTTTTTACTCGAATAGGGGGGAGAGGGGGAAAAACAACAAAAAACGGGGGAAAAAAATTCTTTTCTCCAAATTAATAAATTATCCAAAAAAAAAAAAACGGCCGCTATAATTAAACATAAATCAAAAAATTAAATCAATAAAATATTATTGATTATTATAGCGAGAGAGAGAGAAAACAAAATAAAAACAAACAAACAAACAAACAAAAAAAAACATGGCGGTGATAATTCAACGAATTACGATTGTTTTTTTTTTTTTTTTTTTGATAATAATTTATTTCTTTTATTATTTAATTTTCGTTAAGTTTAAAACGACGATTTGATTTTTCAGGTAGCGTTAAATAATTACAGTAATAAAAAAAATGATGATGATAATAATAATGATAATAATAACAAACAAAACGTAATAAATAAATAAATATACGTTAAGTAGAAAGAATTTCGGTTTCGGCAATTATGATTTAAAATCTTCTCCTCCTCCTTCTATTTACTAAAAATTAAACGATGATGATAATGATGATATTGGGTACCGGTCGCGTTTTGTTGCGGCTCCCCACTTAATTACCTACCGAAAAATTTTTTTTTTTTATAGTCTGACTTTTTTTTTATTTTATAGCCCGTTTAATAATTTTTTTTTTATTTCTTTTCTCCTCCTCCCCGAATCAAGTTTTTTTTGCGTTGTTTCGAGGGGGGGGGGCTTAGACGAATTTTCCAAAAAAAAAAAAATGTGTCCGACTTTACGTACGCCAGTTTTTTTTTTTTTTTTTTGGGGGGGGGTTTCATTTCGTTTCCGTAACGTAATTAAATTAATTTAATAATTTTAATTGCGATAAAACGAATCGACTAATAATAATAATAATTTTTACTTCAAATCACCCTCGAATCCTTTTCGAAAAATGATTTATATTCTTTTCCTTTTACCCCCTCCCCCTTCCTTTCGTTTCCTTTTTTCTAAAAAAATGATACGTTCAAAGAAAATTTTTTTTCCAATTTTTTTTTTTATATTGAGGGGTTAAATAAAATAAAAAATAATATTTTTAATAAATGAATCGTGACGTCATTCTCCCCTTCTTTCTTTTCCAGTAGTAAACACTTTAATCACGGATCCCATTTAAATTTAAAGATTCGTTTTTTTTTTTTTTACCCAACGCTGGAGAAAATTATAAAATTATGGAGGAAAAGAAAAAGTAAACGAGATGAACGCGTTTGTTATTAAATTTAATATTATTTACCTGACGGAAATTATTGTTCTTGGACAGATTAAAAGTATTCCAGCCGTTTTTTTTTTTACTTCAAATTAACAATTCTTACCTGAAAACAAAAAGAAAAAATTTAATTAATTAATCAGTTATGCAAACTTTACAGAAACAAAAAAAAAAGAAAAAATTTTTAGAGTTCGGCGGCTCAGTGTGAAAAAAAAATAAAAAAACAATTTTTTTAAAAATTCGTTGGAGTCATTTAACTTTTTTTAAAATAATAATAATAATAATAATAATAATAATAGAAAAAACCTTGAAAATTGCCCAAAAAAAAAAAATTGCAAAGAAAATAATAATAATATTCTTTCATTTAAAAAAAAAAAAAGTGAAATTCTCCAAAATAAAAAGAAAATGGAACAATAGTTTGTTTTCTATCTATTCATTTACACTGCAACAATCACCACAAATCATTTTGTAAATATTTGCTTTCTGGAAAAGAAAAAAAAAAAAAAAACAAAATTCAAAATGTCTTTTCTTTCGAAATCGATTTTCTCCATTATTATTATTATTATTATTATTATTATTATTATTAAGGGTCATCATAACCACTTATTCAAAATTAAAAACAGTAATAGTAAAATTTAAAAAAAAAAAAAAAAAAAAATATGGCAAACGAAACAGAAAAAGAGAGAGAGTGAGAGAGAGAAACTATTTTTTGTGTACCATCTTTTTACCATCTGTCTTTTCCAGACATCTGGAGGTGAAAAAAAAAAAAAAAAATAATAATATTTTTTACGTAATAAGAGGTTAAACGACGATGTAACTTTTAAAAATGAATTTCGAATTTAAATTTATGGACTCCGGCTTAAAATTCGTTGCGATAATTTTCTCCAGTCGAATTTTAAAAAAAATTATTATTATTATTTGATTTTGGAATGTTTTGTTTTCATCCATTTGTGATATTAACAAAAAAAAAAAAAAGTAAAAATAAATAAAATGAAAGAAAATTTTCTTCGGTACGGGCACGTCAGTCCGTCGTCAAACGGCAGGAGCGGCGGCGGCGGCAGCAGCAGCAGTAGCAGCACCTCTCTTACCCTTCCCTCCCCCATTCCTTTCATCTCTTTCTCTCTTTCATTCTCTTCCCCCTTATATACGGATATAAAGTAAAGTGATGTGACGTTCACCATCACTCCCGTTATTCTCTTTTCCACCGCCGCCGCCACCATCTTCCCCCCCTTGTTCTTCTTTTTCCCTTGAAACGGGCTTCCTTCATCCAGCGAACGCCATAAATCATGCCCCTGTATCTATAGCAACGCAGACTCCCGTTCAGTTTCAAATGACAGCCTGGATATGTTATCTCGATTTAATCTCATCTTTTCTCTCTTTTGCTTTTTGTAGTCTCGAGTTTTCCGAAATAAAATCAGGTGTTCGAATTCGTTTTTTTTTTTTCTTTCTTTTTTTCTTTCACTTTTTTCTTTTTTTTTTTTTATTCGCCATTTTTTTCTATTTTGCAATTCTCTTCATCTCTTTTTCGGTTTGACAGAAAAAAAAAAAAGAAAAAGAATATAAGAATAAGAAATAAAAAGTAGAATAAATTTAAACAAGGTTTTGTATAAATTTTTTTTTTCTTACACGTTTTGAATTTTTTTTTTTTTTTTAATGTTGGCAATAATAGTCTTACTTTTTTTCACGCGTTCAAAAACCTTACAAAAAAAAAACCATTTAAAAAATAAATAAATTATAATAATAACGACAACGACATCAACGATGATGACAATAATAATAAAAATATTCGTAAACATCGTAAATATAATTTTGTGTGCGTGTGCGTGCGTGCGTGTGCGTTCGTTATTTTCACCACCTTAACATCATTAAAACTCAATGGTGGTCCATGGTTGTTGGCCACCGTGTTATATACGACCAGTTGATAGTCAATTATATTAATAATAATTTTTTTTTTTTTTCCAACCCGAAGTTTTTTACACTTAATTTTCGACTTTAAAACGCCATAAATTTTATTTTTAAAAAAAAAAAAAACCAGTCTTTCCGTTATTTGAGATTCTCGAAAGATAAAAAAAAAAAAAGAAAAATTTTCATCTTAATCGTCAACAACAAACAAACAAACAAACAAACATCGTCGTAGTCGTAGTCGTCGCCTCCGTAATGACCATTAACATTATTAAGTTACCATCAAAAACAAGTTCTTATCAATTTTCTTCGTCTTTTTAATTTCTTCGATGATTTTCTTTTTATTTCTTTTTTGCGTCATTTTATTTATGTATTCGGATATATTTATTACGTCTATTAAAACTATCAAAAATAAATAAATTTTCTTTTTTTTTTTTTCATTTAGCAATGCCAGCTACTATTTTAACTACTTTATTATAATAATAATAATGGAAACGGAAAAAATTCGTGGTTTTAGAAAAAAAATAAAAATAAACGATTTAAATCGATGGAAATATGTGATAGACGATAGTGACGTAGAAATAACGTAAAATAATTTAAAATTAATCGTCGAATCGATTTTTCCCTTCCATTCCCTCCCCCCCCACACCCACCTACCTATCGAAAAAGGAAAATAATTATTATTATTATTTCGAGACTTGATAAAAATTTTTTTTTGAATCTTTTGTCAATTATGAAATTTCAGCAACTTTTTTTTTTTTTTTTTTTTTAACAACAACCTACAACTTCGGGTCACACACTACAACAACAAAATACAAACTTCCCACGTTTGTTTGTGGTGCCACGCGGTTTACAAAAAAAATAAATTTTATAAAAAAGTGAAATCGAACGTGTCACGTTCATTATAAGTTTTTTTTTCCTTTTTATCATTATTATTATTATTCGTGAAAGGTAAAACAAAAAAAAAAAATTTGTTTTTTTTATTGGGTCAAAGGAAATTTTTTTAAAAAATTTAGCCTTTGGGAATTTTGTTTGTTGTGTTTCACGAACGGTTTCGTAAAAAAAAAAAATTACAATAACGAAACCGCGTTTTTGTTTATGAATGAATTAAAAACAACAACAACAACAACAAACGACGACGGGGCGATTTATATATATAAGTTTAAAAAAATAATTTACATAAAAGAGGCTAAGAAAAAAGAAACCGTCAAAATAAAATTTGAATTTATTTCGTTTTACGAAAACGACGTTCGCATAATTTCGCCATAGGTCGTCGTAGTCGTCGTAAATAATTTTTTTTAATTTTTTTTTTGTAACTACGACTTAATCACAAATTTTAGAAAAAAAAAAAAAAATTGGGAAAAATTACGTCTCCATAAATCCGAGGCAGAGGTTAAAAAAAAAAAAAACCTTGAAAATTTTTACCCGTCAAAATACATTTATTATGTAAAAGGTGAATCGGGTGACTCGATATTTTTCCCTTCCCCTCCCTCCC